GTCCGTCTGCTCGAAATTTCGGTCGTCGAACCTTGCGAATTTCTCGGCGCCTATTGCTCCTCGTTTTCTTCGACGCGGCGCGACGCGCGGTGCGGCCAAACGACCGTTTATTGGACGGAACTCGATAACTCGGCGAACTCGAGTGATACCGACGAACGCTTCGGCCGGAACTTCTGAGGTTCGAGGTAAATCTGTGCTGGTTTTATTTTTGTTTGCGTTAGACGGGCCATTGTGAGGCTCTTCCGGCGACAATGGACGCGTCGCGGTTCGGTTTTAATGGTGTGTTAATAGAGGAACGGGAGTTGCTCGCGGATATTTTTGGTTTTGAAGTGAAATTCATTTTGTGGGAGAGATTAGATGTTGGTAATCTTCGATTTTCGGGGATTTGTCGCTCTTCGATCGCTTTATATGTCTCCAACGCCTTCCTCGTCGCCGCTAATTAGCGTCGGCATCCGGAGAAGCGAGACGCGACGCGGAATACCGATCGACGTTGATCGTCACGATCGATTCGAGGATCTAGGGATCTTCGTTCGATTCGAATCGAACTCGGGACGACAGAATTCACGGACCGCGATAACGGTCGATGCTGCAGCGGATCGCGAAACCTTTCGAAAGGTCGTCGTGCTGATTTCACACCTGCCCGATGTAAATTTGCAGCGAACACGGTTCGAGAACTCTCGTTCCGCGTGGCGTGCGTAATTGGTGGAACGCTCGATCATCGAGGCGATTAAACGTGGCGTCGAAAGCGAACGCGGAAACGTAAATGAGCGACGTCAGCGTGCTGGAATCGTGAAAAACCGCACGAAATGCACGTTTCCCAGCTTGTTGAAAATTTATGATATTTACCACGTGTTCTTACATGTATATAGTAACTGGCGATACGCTTAACATTCGCGGGAAGTCGTCCAAGATTAAGAAGGCTTCTAATATGGGGAAGAGTGCTTCTAGAAGAACTCCATTTCCCTTGAAATCGGTATGGTCTGTCTTTGATATTTTTATTACGAATAAAAGTTACCTCGAATCTAACTATGTAGCATTGAAGAGCATTCTTCTGTCTATATGTACGCGTAATTTCAAAGATACAGATCTATTACCATTTTAGAAGCCCGCGATCATTCGAAATTCCTCCAGTGCGTCCGACATGTACAGAAATTTGTTCTGTCAACGATAACTCTTTGATTCCGAGGCTACGTTTGTAATGTATTGAACTTAAAATCGCATTCTCTTTCAACAGGCAAATTAGCCATTTTCTTAAGCTAAAAACACCCTATAAAGACAGTATTCTAAGGGTAGTTTCTCATCTGACTAAAGAACCAACGACAAAATCAAATTCCGCGCCTCAGAAAGCGGTTACTTCGTCAGCGTGCGCATAAAAATAACAGAAGCCCGAATTCAGCGCGTGTTTTCACGATCGTATTCCACGGTGCGACGCTGAAACATCGTCGGTCGGCCGGCGGAATTAGCGAAGGGCTCTTTAGATTTCGTCGGCGTTAAATAAGAGGCAACGGTTAGCCGAACGCTCGCTCAAGCGGGCCGCGGCAGCCCGTCACCGCCGTCAGCGTCGTCGACCCGTTATTTCGAGGGGACGTCGCGAATTCCGTTGCGGCGCGTAAAACGCGCCCTCGTCGCCGCGAAAGCGAAAGGCGAAACTCGACTCGTCTTTCCCTCGGAAACGCCTCACCTCCTCTGATTTTCGCCGGCTCGATCGGGAAACCGATGCGGATCACGATTCGATTAAGCGAATGATCCCGCGGCCGAGAAAGAAATTGAAACGTCCGGAGGCTTCCGGAGGTGTCGCAATTACTCGGCCGCGGGTAAAGGGAAATGGAAGTATCGCGGGAGATGAAACGACGAGCGAAAATGCAAGAGCATTGTGCCGGGAAGCGGATCCTCGCCCTCTGGGAAATACGCGCTGCCAGCGGGGAAATTTAATATCCGAATCGACGTTCTCGTCTAGATACGTACCTGCGTTCACGGTCGCCGACTCGTCCCGATTCCGCGCCGCGCGACGCCGATCGACCGCGGCTCCGGCTTTTTCATTAAGGAAATTGCTCGGCGCGAACTTTCCCGCGACGCGGAAACGTTACGGAACGAAGCTCGCGAGGGCGTATCGGGGCAACCGGCGAAAAGTAAGAGTAAAGCGGGAAGATGATTCGCGGGGGAATAGAAACTTTCCGCGACTAGACGCACCGCGAAACTTTTACCCGCGGACGAACCGGGAGTCCTCCGGTATCGAGAATCGACCTCGAACGTTTCATCCTGACCCTGTCGGAGGTGTATTCACGTTCGTTTTCGTTTGCTCGCAGATTCCGCTCACTCGGGAGATCGCAGCTATTGGAACGCCCGCGATGGCCGCCCGTTTATGGTGAGTACCCACCGGAAACGCGCGAAATGTCGGGGAATCGCGCGCGACGGTGATCCGTGGACTTCCGTTCTGCGGTGTACAGAGCGGGCTAACGTCGCGGGACAGTTTCTCGACGGGAACACGCTCTTGAATGATAGCCGAGGCCGGAGGAACCCGCCGCGCGTTTTCCTGAGAATCCAAGCTCCCCGGAATCCCGCTTGTTCGATGAATTGTGCCCCTACGAGATGCGTCGAGCCATTTTCTCGGATTCGAAGGACGCGCCCTTTCGATTGGATTCGATCGTCGAATGGAGACGGGCTCGCTGAAGCTAATGAAACTCGAATGAGTGCCTGCTGATTTAGTTTCGAGAATAAGACGGAGTTTTCGGCTCCGAGACTCGAGCGGATACGCGGCGAAGACCGCTGTCCGTCTTGTTCTTGAAAATGTTAAGTAGCAGCGGTAACTCGTTGACGACTCCTCGACGTCCGAGCGTCTCGACGTTGAATCCTGACATAATTGCGGAGTAATGATGCTCATTATATTCTATCGGTGTAGCTGTGGATGTGGATGTCGACGTCGGCGTCGGCGGTGACTGCGTCTGCGACGATCGCTATAAATAATCGAGGGAATCCCGAGGTACCAGGAGAAATTGGCGTGTTCAGACATAAACATGGCATACTCCCGTCGAAATATTCGCGAGCGCCCGCGCGCGCGCGCGTGCGTCTCCTTCTCCCTCTCTAATTTTGGCCGGCCGACGAAAACCGTTCGACCGGCGAACGCTCTTTTTCTTCCACGGCCGAGAATGCGTGGCCGACTTTGCTCCAATTTCTATTCTTAACCGAGATATCCCGTAACTTTGAACGATCGGTTCGAGATTCGATCCCGTCCGAGCGACGACCACGCTTCCCGCGGTCGATAGCCGTCGACCGGTTCCTCGACGTCGAGAGCTGCGCCGGGAAAAGTCGTTCGTTTCATTCAGAAGAACGAAGCCAAACGAACGGGGGGCAAGGATGATCGATCGAAGACAGTGGGAGGGGAAAACGTGGGCGGTCGCGGTCGCGGTCGCAGCAGACGACGACGACGACGACGACGACGACGACGACGACGACGACGTTGTGTTGATTCTCCTTTGACCGCGTTCGAATCCCGATTCGCACGCGAAGAAAGGAAAGTCTTTCTCGAGGGCCGCTCTCCAGAATCCGTGTCCCGATAAGCGCGAACAAAAGTATCGGACCGGGAATTCGTCCGTGTGCACGCAGGCGGAAACGAGATTCGTCCTGCCGGTCGCGCGGACGAGCTCGAATTTTCCCAAATATCGATTTTCGGGCGAGTCGCGTCGAGGACAATGTCGGGACGCGTTGACTTTGGTGCGCCCGTCGCTCGGGACCGCCTCCATTTTCCATTCCCCGTCCCGTGCCCCTCGTTCCCGCGTGTTTTCCGCGCGTTTTCCGCGCGCCGTAACGAGCCATTGATCTCGTGGGTCGGCTCCGGGGGGACACCGCGGGCCGGAAACGCGATCTCCGCGGCGGCCGTGGAGCCGCGCGAGGAACGGTCGACGTTGCGAGTGCAACGAATTAACGGTTTCCCGGTTTTCCGGTCTGCCTTAGACGAATCTGGCGCGGCCGAGAACCGAGCAGCGGCAGGGGCAGCGGCGGCGGCGGTATCCGGAGGCGGACGGAGACGCGAGCGTGCCCGTGCTCGTGCCTCTCGACGGACCAGGGAAGAGGGTTGAGCCTCGATCTTATTTCGGCCGAGCGCTCCCAATCTCGCATCCAAAGTGGCTAAGAGCGTAAGTCCTCGTCGAGTGCACCAGGAGTGCCCGAGCGGAGGGGAGGTGCAGGTACAGGTGCAACAGGAGAGACGAGCACCGAGGCGCATGCCTTACCTGGGGCCTGATATGACATCCCGGCTGTCCGCCATGTTTTACACGGTCGAAGTCGGGGACACAAGGTTCACCATCCTCAAACGGTACCAGAACCTGAAGCCGATCGGGTCGGGCGCGCAGGGTATCGTTTGGTAAGTCTCTCCCCAACAACCCTTTCCTCTCTCCCCCTCTCTGTTTCGACTGCGAACGCGGACCCAACTCGAACCGTTCCGCGCGTGTTGCAGTGCGGCGTTCGACACGGTCACCGCTCAGAATGTGGCGATCAAGAAGCTCTCGAGACCCTTTCAGAACGTGACGCACGCGAAGAGGGCCTACAGGGAGTTCAAACTGATGAAGCTGGTGAACCATAAGAACGTGAGTCCCCGCGGCAATCGGCATTCGAACGGTACTCGAACGCGTTGTTTCGTCCTGTGTCGCAGATCATAGGTCTTCTGAACGCGTTCACGCCGCAACGGTCGCTGGACGAGTTTCAGGACGTCTACCTGGTGATGGAGCTGATGGACGCGAACCTGTGCCAGGTGATACAGATGGATCTGGATCACGAGCGCATGTCCTACCTTCTTTACCAAATGCTATGCGGCATCAAGCACTTACACTCGGCCGGTATTATTCACAGGGTGAGTTTAGCATCGGTCGAGGGAGGGTGGGTTGTTCCCCCATGGGAACCGGTGGCCCAGATATTAACCCCGCGTGGCTGTTCGCAGGATCTGAAGCCGAGCAATATCGTGGTCAAGTCCGACTGCACGCTCAAGATTCTCGACTTCGGTTTGGCGAGGACCGCCGGGACGACGTTCATGATGACGCCGTACGTGGTCACGCGGTACTATCGGGCGCCAGAGGTAAGCGTGACGCCGCGCCGGGCCGCGCCGGGCCGCGCCGCGCGTCGCGTCCTTAGCCACCTATCGTCGCGTCGTAGCAACCGTAGACAGGACCGTCGAGACGCGTTTCCCTACTATACAGTCTGTTCTTTACCCTCCGTCGAGCACAGGTTATCTTGGGCATGGGTTACAAGGAGAACGTGGACATCTGGTCGGTCGGGTGCATCATGGGCGAGATGATTAGGGGCGGCGTGCTGTTTCCCGGCTCGGATCACATCGACCAGTGGAACAAAATAATCGGTACGCCACTTACCGTCCACTCGCCTGCTCCGCGTTGTTCGCGGGAGAACCCTGAAAGGAATGCGGGAGTCATTGGTGGATCAACTTTCATCTTTTCTCATCTTGTTCTCAATGTTAATCTCCTGCTGGCCAACGCTTTACGCTTATCCTGTTAGATCCATGAACAAAATCCCTAGCGAGAGACTCTCTTCTTCTTGTTCTTCTTCTTGTCGCGGGGTTCTTCCTGCGAACAACGCTCTGTACCTAGCCACCGCTCCCAGAACAAATGCGACAAAGCGACTCGATGTTGCAGAACAACTGGGAACACCGGCGCAGGAGTTTATGCAGCGGCTGCAAACGACCGTGAGGAATTACGTGGAGAACAGGCCACGATATCCGGGATACCCGTTCGACAGGCTATTCCCGGACGTACTGTTCCCCTCGGACTCCTCGGAGCACAATAGATTAAAAGGTGAGTAGGTCGACGAGCTGCTAGGGCCGCGCGGCGACATCGATCGCCGCGAAAACTAGGCGGAAACTGCGCGGAAACCGCCGGTTCCGGCGCTCCGGCGCACGGTGGGCTGGATCGGGAAAATAGGTGACATTTTGTTGGAACTCTTCAACCACGGAGGGCATCTGCATCGGGTTTCCACTGAAATTCATGAAAACATCATTCTCTGATAATGATCGTTGACAGTACAGTTTCCGGTATCAAACGTTTCAAAATGTTTAGCTTCCAAAGATCAATACATCTACAATTTCAATTTATCACGCATTTCCTCGTTCCTGACGTCAGCGGACACTTAAGAGGCAAAAACGGTTGATTAGATACCGATACAAAAAGCTTCAGTTCCCAGCGAGGTGTCACTGTAATTCTCGATCCGGGCCGTGCGCCGCTTCGCGCTTTCGTCTCTTCCGTGTTCTTCTTTTCTTCTCTCCTCCCTTTCTTCCTGTCTCTATTGCTCCGGCTTTCTTCTACACGGCGCGTTTCCCTTTCGTTTTTCAGCGAGCCAAGCCAGGGATCTATTGTCGCGCATGCTCGTCATCGACCCCGAGCGACGCATCTCCGTCGACGACGCTCTACTGCACAATTACATAAACGTGTGGTACGACGAGGGCGAAGTGAACGCCGTAAGTGTTGTTGCCGCGGCGTCCTCGTTCGATGCTCGTTCGATGCTCGTTCGATGCTCGTTCGATGCTCGCTCGATGCTCGTTCGATGCTCGCTCGATGCTCGTGCGAGGACGAAAGCGGAGTCGAACCGATCGGCCGATCGATCGTGGGACTGATCGCCGCGTCCGTCTGTTCGTCTGTTACAGCCCGCGCCAGCTCCGTACGACCACAGCGTGGACGAGAGGGAGCACACGGTGGAACAGTGGAAGGAGCTGATCTACCAGGAGGTGATGGAATACGAGACGAGTCACAATCCCGCGACGGTAGCCCAGGGGCCGGAGAGCGGCGGCTCCCGGTAGACACGGACCGATCGAGCTTTCGAGGCGTCGGCCGTCTCTCCGAAGACGCACCCGGACTGTCCGATCTCTATCGTATATATACATACACACACACACACACATATATATAAATATATATATATATATACCGCGGGAATCCGAGGAAGAGTGACGACGAGTAGAAACTCTTCGCCTCAGGGGGAGAGATGCGGTAACACGCTGTAATCGCGTCCTCCTTCTCCGAAGCCAAGAGGGAAACGGTCCAGGCGGGAAATTTTTGCGAGACGCGCGAGGCCGGAGTATGAGCGCGAGGTGCGCGCGCGACCGAGGAACACCGAGGGAATGATGCACGAGAGCACCGTCACGCCGGGGCGAGGGAGGAAGAAGCGAGGGGGCCGCTGCTCCGTCGCTTTTCCGGAGATCGGATGAAATCGGCGTCGGGAGGAATCACGAGCGTTACTCCGATATGCCGTTTGCGAGAACACACACCAGGCATCACGAGCGCGCGGCTGCGAGACACACGATAAACATGTATAACGATATATTTCCCGTAACCAAAGCATACACGCGATACGACGATACAGCCGTACGGCGACGCGGCGGCCGCGAGGATACCGGAGACGTTCGTCGTCGATTTTTCCTCGGTCTTACTCCTATTTCCGACCCGTTCTCCGTCGCGATGACGAGAAACCCGCGTTACCCGCGTCCGTTCGCGACGCGAGACGAACGTTTTCCGTGATCGAGGCTAGAGAGCCCGACGACGCGTACTCGTCATCGTCGTCGTCGCCGCGGTCCTCCGTCTCTTGTTTTCATTTCGAGAATTCTGCCCGTGTCGCGAAACGCGAGCGCGAGCGCGAACACGAACGCCAACGCTTCTTTCGTCCGTTTTCTTTTCTCTTTTCCTCCTCTTCTTCTACCTCTTCTACTTCTTCCCTCTGACACTCATTTTCTCTCTGTTTCTCTTCCCCTTTCTCCGTCACTCCGTTACTCTGTTCCCGTGTTCGCGTCTCCATCACCGTTTCCGTTTCGGTGAGAAGCGGGAAGCGCGAGAAAAAGCATTACTGCCATCGAATCGAGAAAGCCTCCGATCCCGCGCCCCTCGGCGCGCGTTCCCCCGCGACGCGTATTCCTACGACGCGTCCGTCGCGCGGCGGTCGGCTCGCGATCTCGTCGAAAACGCCGGGCCGAACTCGAAGCGTCTTTTGCGTCCTTGCGCGGCAATATCTATTTTTCGTATCGTCCTTAGAATTCGGGAACAAATCCGCGATTAAGAGAAAACGAAAAAAAACTGGCGATAGGCGGCGACGAGATCGCGGCCGGTCGCCGCGCGCGAGATCCTTCTCCCCTCGGCGAGGCTCGTTTGCGATCGCGTCTCGAGACGACTCTATACCTCGGACGAGCGGAAACGCGTCCTCGGTCCCCCGAGAGAGGAACGAGGCGCGCGACCACGACGCGCGATCCCGCTTGGGGCTTTTCGTCTTTGCCGATCGAGCGACGAGTTTTCTACGTATATCCCGAAAGCGTCCGACATACAGGGTGTGGCGAGAACAGAAGAGCCCGAGAGCCAGTCCCCGTTTCAATGTCCGTTGCCCCGCGTCCGAATTTCGATTTGTCGTGATCGCGCGTTCAATGTTCGTCGAACGATGTACAATCGTGTATTTTTATAATGCAACCCTTGAAACGCGCGTGCTTTTTGTCTCATCGTTTTCGCGCGCTCGTACGCCACCGATATTTTGTATCGCTAACTTTGTAAGATGGTACCGCGTTCTAATCCAAATTGCAACCATTTCCAGGGGGTGGTACACGGAGGGAAAATTCGAGGAACGGCCTGGGAAGGGGTGGGGTTTGGGGGTTTCGGGGAGAAAGGCCGTGAGACGAGTAGAGGCGAGAGGAAGGGAACCGAGGACGATAAGGCAGGGGTGTGCCAGCTCCACCGACGAACGCGTCGGATGGGAGCGGGCGAGAGTCAGTCGTTGAGTGGACGCGCGAGGAGTCGAGCGATTCGGTTCGTTTCTTCGGAGGACGTACGACGCGGGACGCGCTCGTCGATCGCGTCTTGTCCAGTTGTTCCGAGCGGCCGCTCTTTGCGCGGTCGCGCGAAACGTTGTTCCGTTTGTTTGCTTCGTTCTGTTCCTCCCCATTGGTTTCCTTTGAATTTCACTGTCGGCGAACAAACGACAATAATCGGCGAACCCGAGGCACCCGACGATCTCGTCCGCGTGCGTGCGCGGAGGCGCGAACCCGATTCGCCTCGACGTCCTTCGTTTCCGTTGCGTCGCGCGAACAAGGATCTCTCGTTGGAAGTCAGCTCTCGCGAGACCGTTTTTCGCTCGACGTCGCTCCGCTCTTCGATGTTTATCTTAAGTTTAGAACAAGTATCGCGACCGTTGTATATTTCCGAAGGATCGTGCGATGCGCCTCTGAAACGTCGACCGACGGCTCGCAGGCTGGGACCGCACAGATGCAGGGACAAAGGGGACCGTCCGTTCGCGATGCTCGCGTTCGAGAACGAGACGATAGGTATCAGCGGATCTCTCGCGTTTACGGTATCCCATGGATATGGAGGTCCCGTCGCTATGCGTTGGGAGTCTCCTTTGCACGGGGTCAGATGGAAGGAGCGAACGATTCCGTTTGTTCCTGGAGCGGTTTTAGCCGATAAGCGGTCGGACAACTGGTCAAAGGCGTACGTTACACCTCAGCGTTAAGCTCGAACTAGCGGAATGCGCGTTATTCCAAAGCGACACGTTTGTGGCAATATCTGTACAGTAGCCGGCTAGACAAATGGGACTGAAAATATGATCGTTTCAACGGCGACAGTAATTGACAATGACGACCACGACTAAACCACGACCACGACCATGCTAACGCTAACGATAACGATGACGGCAGCGACGAGGGTAAAGACGAGTGCGACACTATTGGTGATTACTATTTTATTATTATTATTATTATTATTATTATTATTATTCTAATTATAATTATAATTATTATAATAATAATTATTATTATTATTACTTTTATTATTGCGTCTATTATTAGTACTATTACTAATATTATTATTATGTACATTTTATTTCTATTATTATTATTATTGTTATTATTATTATTATTATTATTATTATTATCATTATATTGTACGAATTATTGTATTTATTACGATTTATTACGAATCCAATTATCGACGATCGCGAGGGGACAGTGAAAGAAGTGTAATGTGAACGTTGAACTTTTATTTTCCACGACGATAGTTATGTGAATATATTGCTACAGTCCGATCCAAATAATCAAGCTTTTGTAACACTAATTGTAATAAAGCAACGGTGATACTGCTAATCGCGTGATTGTATCGCACACGGTAACAATATCGGATACGAGCGACGCATAAACACAGTCGAGTCGAATCGGAATCGAACGACGACGACGCGCGAGAAATCTTTGGGAATCGACGCGTAAGACCGGAAACGCTTAGGTTTCACGTCGTTCTCTTTCTCCTGTTGTCTTTCCCTCGTTCGCCTTTGTCGCCTTGGTCTCGCCCTCTGTCGCAAAACTATCGGCCGCCTGATAGCGAGAAGCTATCCCCCTCCTCGTGCGAGGGTCCAGAGCCTCGTTTCTCTTCCGCGCGTATGCGAGTACGTCCCTCCTTTCGCCGCGCTGTTTCTTCGCGACGTTCGCGAGGTTCGCGCGGCGAAGCCAACCGAAAGGATTACTCGGTGAACCGTGATTCCTTGGAATTTCGTCCAGCTCTCCTCGAGCCAAAGCACAGTATTTCGACGCATTCGACGACGCGCCCGCGAGCTTTTCCTTGTCCGCCGCGTCGACGTATATATAATATATATATATATATATCTCTCCTATTCTACGCGCAACGGCGAGCCGACGAAGGCCGACGAGGGCTGAACCAGGATCCGCCAAGCCGGTCGCGATATTCGCCGCGGTGTCTCGGGATTTCCAAAGATTTTTCGAGCTGTCGCGCTTCGAAGGGAGAACTCGAGCGACACGCTTGTCGCGTGAACGCGTATAGACATGTACCGTAGATGGGAACGGGAACCGAGAAACGGGTAACGGCGCCGTTAAGCTCCGCGGCACGCGCCGCCGCCGCCGCCGCCGCCGACTTTTCTTCTCTCATCGTAGACCGAGCCGACAATCCTAGAGGATGACGCTGCTTGATAACGCGGTAACGATCGACGATAATAAACACAGCAATATAGCAATAGATATAACGTTAACGTGACGAATATACGATAGTAATCGACGCGCCGCGCGACTTTGCCGGGGGAACCGCGCGCTCTCCCTCTTTCCTCGACGGGAAAAACGGCGACTCTTACGAGACGAAGAGGGCGCCGGACGGACTCCCGCCATCGTGGACGCGTAAACGAGTAGCAACGAGACCGATTGGTACAGAGGCGCGAGTACACGATACGTGCCGATTTTTACCAGGGAAATAACGTAGACCGTCGTACGCGAACTTTCCGAATTTGAACGAGCCGCCAACCTTGTGCAACCTTTCGAACGCGCAATATCGGCATCGGGTCAAACAGAACGAACGGTCGTACCGAAATAACAACCGACAAAGGAAAATTGTAATAATATTCGTAAGGAGGATAACGCTAACGATAATAATAACGATAATTATTGATAATATTAATATTAATCTTAATATTAACGTTAATAATAATAATTATAAGGAATAATAACAATAGCTATTAAATAATACTATCGCTAACGATACCATTAACATTACTAATAACGATACAAATAATAAAAGAATAGTAATAATAACGATAATGATAATACTACTAATAATAATAACGATAATACCAATAATAATATTAATAATAATAATAACGATAATACTAAATAATAATAATAATAATAATAATAATAATAATAATCATGTCCATGCCTGTCGTGAAAAGGAAAACGAAGCATAACATAACCGGGTACCTTCTAAGTGACGTGCCTTTGAGACTCTTCGAAGCAGACGATTGGTTCGTCGTTAGCCTTCGGCTTTGCTCGCGGAGAATCGACGCTCCTCGAGTGCGTCCGTATTGCGCGTTTCAAGGGGGGGACATCCGTGCGTCGGGCCGCGCGTCCGACCGCGCGGCGCAAACGCGTAGTGGTGAGCATGGC